TTTCGCTGCGCAGTTTCAAAGTAATCTTCTTACAGGAATAAAGTTTGAAATTTATTTCTTTGATTTTTTCACGAGTTTATTCCCGTAATCACAATTAATTTTATTTTCTTGTATGAAATCCACTCCTAAGATTTCATCATACTTCATAGATACATCATCTTTTACTATATATATCAGATATAAAATTTTATCCGTTTTTGATCGTTAGATAAGTTTTTCCGATAGTGAAAATTCCGTATCTCGTTATCCCGGTTAATTTAATTTTTTTTTATAAATTTTGGTTTCGCCTTTTAACACTTTTAGTTTTAAAAGTGAGATAAAGAAAAGTGAGTCGCACTTGTGTCAAATAAAAAATTTATTTTTCCGCTTTCGCCTTTTTCAGCGAGTAGAGTAATTAGATCTAGCCCAGTTTCTACGCATGGCATTTTCTTAATATGAGAAATTCGATACTCAGCGGCGGTGCGGACAATTCTAGCGTTATCCTTGTTATCGCTAATTTGTGATTCTTTTTTATCTTGTGATTGTCTTTCGTGTTATGATTTTCATAAGTAGTTTTGTTCACGATCGCGTTTTGATGTAGTATTATCTTTCACGAGCTGTGTAATGACCAGCATTCATCGCGCACGTGCCTAATCTTTGTGCAATGCTTGCAGTATTTATTCACAGTGTTCACGCGGGAGTGTTTTCCGATCTTTGGTAATGTGAATTTATTACGACAATCTCGTATATAATGACCCGTTTTCTCGTATTTTTGACATTAAGGAATGGAGGTTTTTATCTGTCCCGTAGCGTCAGTTTTATTTCTATATTGAAAATTTACTCGGTTGCTCTCTCACCTTTTCCTCCACGCTCGCACCTGCTATAGCTTCTTGCAGAGTGCGGTATTTTTGTGTACAATTAACTTTATTTTGCAAAGTGCGGTATTTTTATGTACAATTAACTTTATTTTGTCATTTGACAATTCGATTTGAAAATTGTGCAAAGCCTGCAGTTTAATTGTTTCTAATATAGTACGTTTCTGCTCAGAATTATATTGCCCTCCTTTAATCATGGATTCATACAATTCCATGGCCAGCACGTCTACTCTTCAACCAAAATTCAACCAAAATTTTAAGCGCTTTCTCCGCTTTTTTGTTTAAGAGAGATAAACTCTATCTGCAAATGCGTAGTACTGCGTTTGCTAAGATATTCGCTCTCAAATTCAGCTTTTAATTTGTAGCTCTGAATATCACGAGTGTAAAAGTCTAACATTGCCTTTCTTTTAAGCTTAGTGCATGCTATAGCTTCTAATAATGTTTTTCTGCCGGATCAATATTTTTTTATAGCATAGTCACTTGCATTTAAAAATTTTCAGATGCGGCTTCGTGAGGTACCGTCGAATTTTTATATCATATCTCGCGCCTCCTTTAATCTCAAATTTTCAAATGTTCCGAGTCGGTTTCAGATATCATCTTATGTGCGTTCGTAGGTAACATCCATAGCGTTACTTGTATAATTGCGATATGCTCTATTCCGTTCATCTAAATGTATGTGATTGAAATCAACATGCTCTTCTAAAAGATTCGTGCGCGCTCTTATTTTTCGTTAAGTAGCCATGATTTATTCGGGGTCAGTGTATCGTGAATATCCTTTTCTTTGGACATTCACGCTGCAGAAAGTTATAAAAGACTTACTAAGACAATTCGCATATTTTTCTTGGCTCGCTTGGCTGAAAGGCCCTCGAAGTCTTACAAGGGTAGTCTGAAAAGTTTTGAGCCTTAACATGAAGATGATGTTACTCGTCAAAACCATTCTACTACAATAGTATATGCTTTGAAAGACTTTTGTGAAAATTTCAACCATTTTGGACGCTCAGTTGTTGTTTGACAGTCGTTTGTGTCAGTCGATGTCAGTGTTTTTGTAAAAATGGAAAAAATTGAATATCGTGCCGTGATTAAATTCTTACATTTGAAAGGCGCCTGCGCAAATTAAAATCGAGTTGGACGCTGTTTACGGGGACTCTGCCCTATTTGCCACTGTAAAAAGATGGACAGCTGAATTTAAACGTGGTCATATCAGCTTGGCTGATGACGAGCGTTCGGGACGGCCAAAAACTGCGACCGCTAATAAATGATCGGAAATGTTATCAAATGTGTACTGGACGACCGTCGAATCAAGGTTAGAGAGATAGCAGAGGCTATGAGCATATCGAAAGAACGCGTTTGTCATATATTGATTGAAGAATTGGATATGTGTAAGCTATCCGCGCGTTGGGTGCCGCGCTTGCTCACTTTGGACCAAAAATTCGAATGAACATTTCCAAGGCCCTGTTGAAGCGGTTCAAGCGAAACGAGTAAGATTTTTTGCGTCGATTCATAACTGTAGATGAAACTTGGATCCACCACTACACTCCAGAGACAAAAGAACAGTCAAAACAGTGGACTGCAAAGGGTGAACCTGCTCCGAAAAAGATGAAGACGGTTCCATCAGGGAAGGTAATGGCGACTATTTTTTGGGATAGTCACGGAATTGTGTGTATCGAAAAATCTTGAAAAAAGTAAAACAATAACGGGAACGTATTACGCATCATTATTTGATAAGGCAGAAATTGCAAAAAAACGGTCACATTTGAAGAAGAAGAAAGTGCTGTTCCATCAAGACAACGCACCTGGTCACACTTCGACGGTCGCCATGGCCAAAATTCACGAACTGCACTTCGAATTGGTTGATCACCCACCGTATTCACCAGATCTGGCCCCCAACGACTTTTTCCTGTTTCCTAAGCTTAAAATTTCGCTTGGAGGGCAGAAATTTTCATCGAACAAGAAGGTCATCGCATACGTAAACGCCTATTTTGCGGAGCAAGACGTCAACTACTATTTGGAGGGGTTAAAGAGATTAGAGTATCGATGGGAAAAGTGTATCGACTTAAAAGGAGATTATGTTGAAAAATAAAACTATATTTGACCGAAGAAATACTTGTTTCTATATTAGGTTTAAAACTTTTCAGATTACTTTCGTATTGCGTGTGGCAATTGCTACTAATGTCGTGCTGTTTTCCTCATAGTTTGACACGTAATCGTAGGGCGATTCGGTGACATCTCTGGTTCCCTCGGCGTGCGTCGGTAGCTCCGGACATTGACCGTTTGCCAGTAGAGTCTCTCTCGTCTTCTCACGGTACTCTCGCTAGTTATCAACCCTGGATGCAGCATGATATCTGCCAGTAATTTATTTGTCTTCTTTCAATGAAGACAATCAATGAAAATTTTTCTCCTGCCCGTTATCACTGCGCGGTTTTTTGGGTTTTTATTGCGTCTTTTCTGGCGGCAAGCGCGTTCTTCTTCGACACTCCCCTCAGAGAGCCTTACGAACATGGATTTCAAAATCTTCGCTTCGTGAATCCCACCGCTGCCATCAATTTGTTGTACCTCTCGGTGCAGCAAGGAAAAATTTGGGATTCGGTCCGTCTGAAGGGTTAGAACTCACGAGCGCTGGTAGAAGTATGCGAAAAACTTGCAGTAACACTCACTATTCTTGTAAATTCCTTTTATTTTTCCGTTATTAAATTATTTCTCTTAAAATAATTATAACTTTCCGTAAATAATATATTATGTTTCCGCACTCGCGTTAAATTATCATTTCAATCGTGGATCGAGACGATATGTTAAAAATTTAAAAATGAATTTCCGCGGTCGGGGACTAGTTAGCCGTTTTTAGTGTTCGCGGTTTCGAATAGCTTCGCGTTAAAATCCTCATTCGGACTATATATGGTAAAATGCAGTGAGCGACCTTCGTTCGCACGCTGTTCAGGAATTCGCAAATTTACATTACCGGCGTAGCACGGACTTATTGCTATGCCGAAATGCAAGACTTATCGTGGTAGCTATTCGGGCTACAACACATGAAACGTATATGTTAGTTGTAATTTCCTAGTTGTAATTTCCTCAATAATGTAACTGTTACATAACACATGCGTTATATAACATTGTTGAATAAAAAATTACAACTAATACACGTTACATGTAACATTGTTTGTTAAGTTATCTTGTAGGTAAATTCTAAGAAGCAATATGAGTACTGTTTAAATGCATATATTTTTCATTGTACTGTATTTTTACGTACGTATATGTTCGTGTTTTTTTATTATGAGACATTATCGTGTTTCCTAATTACTGACTGACAAAGTCATTACATCATCAAATTTGATATATTAGTTTCTTAGAGGAACATCATTTATGTATCTTTTCATTCATAAATTTTGTAAACCTGCAAGAGAAAAAAGCGTTATAATACTTAAAGGAATTATCATTGATAAGATAATTCTAATTTATTAAAATAATTATTAAATGTATCTTTTGGATATGTTATTTAAATAAATATATCATAATTGTCTGTATTAAATAACTCGAAAGCACTATTATTTCAAATTAAGCATGATATATAATATAAAATCTGATTAGATTTTTATCTGTTTACATATTAATCCTAAAATATCATACGAGATTGCCAATTTTATTAGTACATGCGCATAAAAATTTGTATCTAATCATTTCATAAGAATTAAACACGTCTTGGATTTCGTGCTTGGAAATACTTGCATTTCGTCGACTCGCATAAAGTCGCACGGTAGGGTTCTTAGTTGACTTGACACCCGAGACACTACCGTGTCTCCTGATTAATTTAATATATATTACAATGAATGATTTATATATATATATATATATGATTTATATGATTTATATATATATAATATATATGATTTATGTATATATAAAATATAATATATATATATATAAATTTATATATATTTTGGTCTAAATGGAAGAAAGTATTTATTACTGTCACCAAATTTTATCATTAGAGGATAGGAAATTAAAATAAGAAAGGTGCGGTTCAGCGCTTAATTCATTATATTTATAAATATATTTACAGGGGTGATTATAAAGATATATTATCTGAGATCTGTGTGAGTCCGCGAATGAGTATCCGCGTTTGCGTGAATGTGTGCTCGTGTCTTGCAGACGAGGAATCACCGTCGAGCACGATCTCGCGACCGAGAGCTTTGCAGCCGAGAGAGTCTTGCGACCGTAGGCTTCGCAGCCGAGAGGATCTTGCAGACCTGAGAGATTGTTCCCTTGCGGGAAAATTTGTGGCTCACCAGGGCTGGTGGGCGCGAGAGGATGTTAGTGCTAACGTGAGAAGAGGAGTGCTCGACACTCCTTTCTGCGTTGTTTGGCTCTTTGATCTCTTCCTTTATGTCTGCGCACGCCTGGAGGGTTGTCGGTCTGCGTGCTTTGATCAACCAATCGGGGCCGACAGTTTCGTAGCGGCGTCGTCGTTGGTGGAATCCCGAAAATCGGGATCAGCTCCACAGCCGGTACCTGAGGAGTCGTCTTTTCCTGGAGTTCCTGTAATGGGAAGCGGATCTCAAGGTACTTCCCCGGTATAGGCGGACGGTCAAGACACTGTTGTGGTGATTGTCCGCGTGATTGTCCGTTCGGTTGTGAATTTTTCGTGGAGGAGGTTCTTCTTTTTTTAGAAGCGGCCGATGAAGAAGATGATGAGAAGGCCGAGGAGGTATTGGAGCTCGACGTCAATGAGACATCGATCGAAGATGATGACGAAGACAATGTCGATGAGGCAGATGGCGACGTCGTTCGCCTTCGTTTGCCTGGTCATATCGGCCAACTGGGCCGACGGACCATAGGGTCCCAGTCGCTGGGATGCGTCTGGATATGACCTTTTGATCGTTTCTTCCGTATATAGGAAGAGACTTCCCGAGAGCTGGACCTTGACGAGTTAAAGCACGAATCTTGCGATCAAAAAGGAGCGGACCTTGTGGTCGGAAAAAGTGAACCTTGCGGTTGTCCTGGACGTCTAGATATACGTTTACACGCACTATCTCGACGGTGGACGGGAGTGTCGGTGGATGGTCGCGTGCTTCCTTAAATATTCCGCGTGATCATATTCTGAATGCGCGAAAGCTCAGCGATAAGGTCAGGCGGCGCCTAGCGACGAGCGCGGCTACTATCCGCGAAGCTAGGCCCACGCGCTACGTGGGGGGTGCGCGCGATGGGCTGCGCGCCGCCATAATATATATATATTT